GGATCACTTCCCTCTCAATCTGTCACCTGGTAGGTTGTTTCATTTTAATGAACTCTCTGCTTTCCTCAGCACAGAAAGCCACACAATGGCCTGCTATCATGTTAAGAAAAAATATTAGGGCCAAAGTTTCTGCAGATTGTGAAATATTGCAATTATAATAGTAATAGCCTTCACTTACTAAGGGTTACCTGTATACATGTCAATGTACTAGACCCTTTAGCTCTGTTTCATTTAATACTTACAATGGCCCAGGGAAGTAAGGGCTGTCCATGCTGCACATTTTATAGAGAAGGAAACTAAAGTTCAATGAGCTTAAACTACTTTGTCCAGGTCTCTACCCGTGATAAAGGATGAGCAAGAATTCAAATCCTTCATCACAAGAAAAAATTCTGTAACTATATATGGTGACAGATTATTTTTTCAAGATTTTTTTTATTTATTTATTTGTGAGAAAGAGAGAGAGAGCACATGCAGAGGGAAAAGCAGAGGGAGCAGGACAATCAGACTCCACGCCTAGCAGAGAGCCTGATGTGGGGCTCCATCTCACAACCCAAAGATCATGACCTGAGCCAAAACCAAGAGTCGGGTGCTTAACCCACTGAGTTACCCCGGCGCCCCTTAACTAGATATATTATGGCGATCATTTCACAATATACACAAATGTCAAATCACTAAGTTGTACACCTGAAACTAATATAATGTTGTATGTCAATTATGGCTCAGTAAAAACAAATCAAATCCTAAATTACTTAGGCTCTTAATTTCTACTGCTCCCACAATATGTAATACTTGAGTACTTCAAGACTTTATACGTAATTGGGACTAAATCTGTAAGGGTTTTTTGTTTTGTTTGGTTTGGTTTTTTTTTTTTTTTAGATTTTATTTATTTATTTGAGAGAGAGAGCACTAGAGGGGGCAGGGCAGAGAGCACTCCCACTGAGTGGGGAGCCTGGCACAGGGCTCTTTTGAACCCAGAACCCTGAGATCATGACCTGAGCTGAAGTCAGATGCTTAACCGACTGAGCCACCCAGGCACTCCTACGAAGTTTTTAAATGATCATATTCTTTAAAATGTGACCCAATCATTTTAACCTTAGGATTCTATCCTATGGAAACTAGCTTGGAATATAGACAGAGATGTATTTGCAAATATGTTCATCACAGCATCAATTACCATAGGGCATATTAGAAGTGGTTCGGCTATGCCTTATCCCAGAAGCCTTCCCAATGCTCGTTTTGGCTGCTTGCCCTTCCTCTGTGCTCCCACAGCACCCTGTACCAGTCTCTTTTTCCCCAGTCTCCTCCACTGGACCACAAGTTTCTTTAAAGCTGAGCTCTTCTCACACATCTTTGGTTCAGAGTGTGCACTCAAATATGTGAGGACTAAATTAGTAAATGACCATGGAGCTGCTTATTTGATACCTACAGAAACTGTTCAAGTTGTTGGAAGTCACGAGAGCAGGACTGGAACCCAAGGTCACACGCGGGGCCTTTCCCCTCCACCTTAGACTTTAAACTTTTTCTCAAATGAAAAATTACATAAGAATAGCTAGAGTTCAGGGCACCTTGGTGGTTCAGTTGGTTAAGCATTGGACTCTTGGTTTCAGCTCAGGTCATGATCTCAGGGTCTTGACAGGGAGCTCTGTGTAGGGCTCCGGGATAGGCCTGGAGTCTGCCTAAGAGTCTCTCGCACCCTCTTCCTCTGCCCCTCCACCCTCATGTGTGCATGGTCGCGCGCTCTCTCTCTCTCTTAAAAATAAAAAATAAAAAATAAATGGCTGGAGTTTGAATGGTTGACACAGTTTGGGCTAGGGGGAGGATGCTGGAGGCTCCTTCCTCTACAGGCCCTTGCTGCAATATCACTGAAGTGATCAGAGCTCATGGGCCACGTGACCTCAGACATGCTGAGCCGCTGATATGGGTGATGAATGAAAGATGCAGCCGTAATACTGACGTAAACCATGATATGTTTATCTGAGGGTCAAACAAGAAAGGTAAGAGATAACTGCACATACACCAGGATTTCAACCATTTAGAGAAAACAAATCCATTTTAAAAATTTTTTTACAAAGCGGGGGATGGGGCACCTGGGTGACTCAGTGGGTTAAGCCTCTGTCTTTGGCTCAGGTCATGATCCCAGGCTCCTGGGATGGAGCCCTGCATTGGGCTCTCTGCTCAGCAGGGAGTCTGCTTCCTCCTCTCTCTCTGCCTGCCTCTCTGCCTACCTGTGATCTCTGTCTGTCAAATAAATAAATAAAATATTTTTTTAAAAAAGGGGGTAACTGCCAAATGTTAACAGTGGTTACCTTTGAATGATGAAATCTTTTTCTGTTTCTCTACACTTTTTTGTACTTTCCAAATTATCCTCAACGGGCATACTTGATTTTTATAATCGGAACAATAAATAAAATTTAAATCACCAAATGGATTTGGAAGGGCACCCTGAGCTCTACCCTAGTAATGACTTTGAAACTGCATTGCTCACTACATTATTGTTACAGATAAGACTATAAAAAGTCCATCTATTGGAACCAGAATGCCATCATGTCATTTCAGTATACATGCATAAAAGCAAGAAAAAGGTATTTTTCCCCAATTCAGTATTTACTGAACAAATCACTGATACCGGTTCTAAGCAAATTCTCCATATTCCAATGTTCCAGATTAGTGAACTAGTCCTGTCATTTTTTAATGCAACCACATCCTCACAACAGTAGAGAGCTACATTCTCTTTGAAGCCTTCCCTCTTCCACAGGCTCATTTACTCCCTGCTCTTAGTTTGACTCATGAAGAAAAGGGGAAACCTCCACCCCATGCAGGTTAATACTGAGATAAATTAAATCTATTTTCTGTGGGTTTCTGAGAACAATTTCCAAAGGGAGATCCAAATGTGTTCTGAGCAAGGGTGATAGGGCGAACAATGGATCTGCTTCCCTGTAACTCCAGGTCAGCCTGGGACCGCACCCCGAGCCTGCCTGTCCTCAGTGAATTCAATGAGACAAACAAATGGAATCACTTCAGATTGCACAACTTGGGTATGAACGTTATGGTTTTGCATTTTATTTGTTTCTTGCTAGGTTTATTTACCTTAGAATCACACGTACTTCACAACTACCCAAGGCCCCCTTTACAATTTGGCAGACATTCACACCTCTTTGCTAACTGAAGAGGGTCTCCTAGTTTGAGCAGAGGGCTTACTCTCTGGGTTTACTGTCCCACCAACACTCTCTACCACTTAAAAAGCTGGTGAGCACCCAAGCCTGCCAAGAAGTCTGAGCAGTCATAAGCATGTCACATGACTTGATACCCAAAACAAATCCAGGAGACACATACCCATCCTTCCCCTCACACTATACAATCATATCCTCAAGGAACACAGGAAAGAAGGGTTGACTCCAACCCACTCCTCTGATTCCAAGGCCTAAGCCTCTTCCATCCCACTAGTACAGCCTGTGCAGAGACTGGGCAGGAAGGACTTTCACTCTACAAGGGAGGAAACTGCTGCCCAGGAAGGTAAGCAGCACGAAAAGCTAAGTGAGGTCTCTGTCTTCTGGCTTCTTGCTGCCTTTTGCTTTATGAGATACTCAGAGCAACTCCCTACTGGACAAGCAAGCAAGAGACAGGGGAACAGGCAGGAGGTCAGAACAAGGGGAAAGGAAACCATTCAGTAAACACTAAAGAAAACTGATCCCTGATGATGACTGTAATACTCCTTAGCATAGCGACCACTGGGATCCACAGCTTTGTTTAATAACCAACACCTATTTAAGTCCTTAAGGAATTCATTCTCTGACTTAAAGGGTGTTGTTATAACAACCATCGTAACTTTGACTTTACTCTGGGGTATCAACAACAGCCCTTTTACGCAAAAAGAGACACTAAAAGCAGACATCTGACTGCGTGTCCTGGGGCAGGAGATTTCTCCTCTCTGGGCATCAGTTTTCCCATTTGGAAAAGAAAAGGGTCTGACTGGGGGATTTCCAAAGTTCCTTATAAGATGAGCATCCTGATAAGAAAACTATACTCCAGTAGTCTAGAACCCCTAAGAAAAGAAACAAGTGTAGCCAGGAGGTAACAGGGACAGGACAAAACAGCACAGTCACTTTGGGGAAACCCGGACCTGAAGTGTTTTTTTGGTTTTCCAACTTTTCCTCTGCCAAATATAAAAATAGGCAGCTACTTCCGAGGAACTCTCAAAAAGAATTTAATTAAATAAAATCAATGAAAACAATGCTTTGTTCTCCCACAAGTGGCTCAGGAGTAGCCCGTTAGAGACACTTTCTTCCCTGCGGGCCTGATGTCAACAGCCCAATGCTTAGGCCCAAACAAAGGCCTCTTGGCACAGGGATGAGAGGCAAAACATCTAAGTCTCCACAGTTGGCCCTATTCCAATCTGAGGGAAAAGGGGCAATGAGGAGAGAGAAATAACTAAGCTTAGGAAAAGGCTAGGAGAAGAGTCAAGGATTACTAAACCTAACTTTTCTCAAATGAATAAAGAACTCTTGAAAGGGATAATGGAAGTGTACAGCTTTCAATCTGAATTACTTTCTTTGTTTAACTCTGTTGTGCCTATGGCTGCTGACTTTTACACCAACCCCAGAATCCTGGTTTTGCCTCTGGTTCCTGGCAAGGCCTGGGGGCAGTGTGGGAGTGGGGAGGCCCCTCCTCAAGTGCTCTCTCTTTCCAATTTCACTTGGTTCCAACTCGGACAAGTGGCTGCACCTTTCAGTCCTCCGTTTCCTGCTTGTAAAATAAGAGGATTCACTAGATCCCCTTCTGGATCCTCAGGAGCTGTGGTTTAGGGCTGAAAGCCCTCCAGTTCTCCCCAGGAACAGGTTTCATTGCCGGGGGTGCTGGCAGCAGGATGGCTCAGCGGCACACTCTGAGGGCAGGCCTCCATTCCCGCGCACACCAACCACCCACTCTCACAACCTGAGGGGCTTGCTTCTGCCCCCACACCATCACCTGTGGGGCCAATCCACCCACGTCACCACTGCCGGAACAGGTCTGATTAACTAGAATTTGCCAAGCTGAGCAGGGCATATGAAAGCAAAGAAAAGGCAAAACAAACGAGAGTGCTCTCCTATCTGGACCTCAGAATTTCTCCCAAACTGATAGAACTGAAGATACGACCGTCCCTCCTCAGAACAAGAGGCCTTGGCTAGACTTGCTTGTAAAAACATGTAACAAGCCCCAAGCCAAAAGGGGCCAGCGACAACCCGGGTCGGCTAGACGCAAGAGAAGGACCTACAAGGCACAGTGCAAGCAAAAGGCCAAGAAGACCGAGACCGCGCCGGGCGCTGTTTAAATTGGACCGTTCTTTCTGCAGGCTGGGGAGGCGCTCGCGATCTCCCGGCAGGGGCGGTCGCCAGAGTGCAGGGACAATGGTGCGCTAGGCACAGGCTTTTTGGGGAGGGGAACCCACGGACCCTTCATTCAGCCCGGGTCTTTAAGACGTGCGGTGGAAGTGAGGGGCTGTCCTGGTCCCATCAAGTAGCGCACCACGGCCGGGGACAGGCTTTTGGCCTGGGGTAAGCTTTCTGTAACTGCTTTCGTGTTTCGTTTCCCCCTTCTGCAGTCTGGCAGTTTGGTGCGACGGCCAAGGGGTACCTTTTCAACGTCTCTATCGTCCTCCTCCGGCCAGGGGCGCCCTGAGCGCCGCTCCCTCCCCCGCGGCTGCAGACAATGGCCCGGTGCCGCAGGGAGGCCCTTCCAGGGCCCTCGAGGCGCTGGTATCCCGGGGCAGAGCGCACGTGCGTTTGTTTTGGTGCCTGAGCCCCCACCCCCGCCGCAGGCCTCAGTTTCCCGGTCTGCAGATCCGGCCGTGGGGACGCCGGACTCCGGAGTCCGCCAAGCGTCCCACACCTTACCGACCGTGCGGAGAAGAAAGCGGGGCTCCCGGGGGGCGAGCGCACGTGGGTTTGTTGTGGGTCCGCAGGCTCGCGGAGCCCAGGGGGAAGCCAGGGCGGTCCCTGGGCCGGGACCAACGCGCAGACCGACACCCCGGCCCAAACGGTGACCGGCCCGCGGGCGAGAAGGCTGAGGCGGCGCCGGCCACCGGCTCCGCGCGCCCCGCCGCCCTGCCGCTCGGCGCCCCTCCCGCGCCCCTCCGCCCGGGCCCCCCGCCGCGCCGCCGCCCTGAGCACCCCTACTCACTCTCTGCGCGCTCGGCCGCCCGGGCTGCGGCTGCTCCGCCCGCTCCGCGCCCTCGCGGGCCGGCTGCCGCTCCCTTTGTTAGCGCCGGGCAGTGCCCCAGGCGTCTTCCCCAGCCCGGCCCTGCCCCGCACTCCCCTCCCCCAGGTGCCGCCCGACTCCGCTCCCTGCCGCCGCAGGGGAGCCCCGCCGCTGGGAGCCCGGCGCCAGATCCCGGCAGGAGGGTCCGCCAGGGACAGTGGGGGACCGGGGCTGAAGGGTGGAGGGGACGGCGAAGGAGGGGAGAAGAGCGCGGCAGAGGGGCGGGGGAAGCGACGGTCTCCATTATGCAAATAGTCGGGCCGACAGGGTGGGTCCCCAGTCAAACGGCGCCCCAAGCCCCCTGTCGTGGCCCTCCGGAGGGTCGCTAGTAAGCAGGTCTCCGGATGAGGGGTGCCGGGTGAGCGCACCGCGGGATGCTGGGACCCAGCCTCCAGCTGAGGAGGCCGGACGGAGGAACAGGGGGAGGGGCGACGCGGCTGGGCCGGGGTCCCCAAATCCTGGCTCACCTCCCCAGTCCGCAGGTCCCAGAGGATTAAGCCGACACTCTCTCGGGCTTTTCAAGCGGTAACTATAAATCCTAGCTCTGCTACCACTGGCTGCGTGACCCTGAGGAAGTCAATTAACCTCTCTGAACTATTCCTATGTACAATATGAAAATACATAATCTCCTTCACGGGGTTTGACAAGAACCTCCCAACCGCAGGCGGGGCGCGCACTAAGTGCTTTCAAGCCCCGCAAATACAAAAGGGGAGTGTGGGCCTGAGCTGTCTGCAGGCTGGGGGGGGTGGGGGGGGTGGGGGGGGCGGGAGGGGTGCGGGAGGCCTGAGGGGGTTGGTGTAGGAGCGAGACTCCTTCCATTCACCGAGGCTGATCTGGGACTTCTATGGGGAGGCGAGAGAAAACGGCAGGTTAAGCAAGAAACACAGCTGTATACTTGGGATACAGGCCCCAAGGATCACTGGACTGAAAACCATCCTACAGGAGGGCCAGAAGCACCCTTGGACTGCCCCCCCAGTCCCCAAAGACAAGATGTGACCGCCAATAGCAATAATCATCTCCCGAATGTATTTTGACCACCCACTTGGCACCAGGCTCCGTGCTTAGAGGGAATGGCGGAGTGGAAGGTAGTCTGGGTCCTCTGGGGACACAGTGGGGAGAAACACAACCAGTGCTTGAAGCCCAGACACAGAACTCTGTCTCCAAATTAAGGTGACCACTCCCCACCACCCACTTGAGAAAGGAGAGATCACATCCTCATCTCAACTCCATCACCCTTCTTCCAAATACTGTTTACCCCCTTCCCAGATCCTGGACCCCTCCTGCTACACCTTGGGCCCTTCCCAACTCCTGAAGGAGCATTACTGCTCAGTTCAAAGAGCCCGAGTTGGCTGGGGGGCCAAGCAGAGTGAATTCAAACCTCTCTGACCAACTAGCTGTGTATTGGTTTGAGTTCCTCAACCTCTATGAGTTTCTTTGACCCTCTTTCCTCTTCTGTATGGTGGAGATATTAATGACAGTGTTGTTTTCAGGATTATGTGAAACAATCTCTATGAAGCCCTTAGCTTAGTATCTGGCATATAGAAGGTGCTTGTAACAGTAAAATGTATGCGTGAAAGAGTGGAAGCAGACAAATTCATAAGACTGTTTCTGGAACAGTGCCATATTGAAGATTTCAGACTTTATTCTTGGAAAATTGGAAACTCTTAAAAGATTTTATGCAGGGGCATGGCATGCCTCCTTGTGTTTGATACTCATTTTTCTGACAGCTTACTGGAAAATGGATGGCAGGAGCAAAGACTGTGAGCATAGAGCATAAAGACCAGCTTTCAAGCTGACATCCATGGAGATATAATAGGAACTGAGGCAATGACAGCAGGAATGAAAAAGAGACATGCAAATAATACCTATCATTTGGGGACCAAAAGTGCTTTGCCTTATTCTATTGTCTCTCCTGGTCATAAGATGGCCTTAGCCCCACTATATAGAGGAGAAAGTTGAAATCACCAAGAAAAATGGAAGAGCAAGAATTTGAGCCCTCTTCCACATTAATGGAATGCCTTAATCATTTCCTCCCTCCGAATCACTTTTGTGTCAACACTACTTAGGAATCAAGAACAAGGGTACTCAGTCAAAAGAGCATGGGACTCTTGATCTGGGGGTGATGAGTTCAAGCCCCATGAGTATAGAGCATAGAGATTACTAAAAATAAATAAGTAAACTTAAAAACACAAAAATGAAGAACAAGAAACAGAGGAGAGGCTTTTCTAGAAGGTACTCCAGTCTCCATTCCACAGTACTCTTTTTAAGGAGAAATACAGCAATACAGCCAAATTTTGGAGAAAACAAAGGAAGAGGCTCACTCTGGATTCCTACAGGCCCCCGATGACCAGAGATGATAAGAAAAGCCCAAGAAGTTTCTGGGGCTGAGGCAGATGAGTGGGCAGGTAGGGAAGATGTCCAGGGTGAGAGCAGCTATGGAGCCCTTCCCTTTGGGGAAGGGAAGGCTCCTCCCTCCAGGTTGCAGTTGGGGCTTTCTGAACTGTAAGTGAGAGACAGGAGGCCTGTCCTCCCCAGCCTGCTGAGGAGGATTCCCCACACATTGCCTCTGGGGCCCCTCCCTTGACAGCCTATTTTTCTTTGAAGTATAGATATCTAATTTCCCTCTGGACACTATCTCCAGCACCCCACCCCTCATGAACTCGGTGCCTTTCTCGTCATCATTTTAGGCAGTTTACTGGCTAATATAAATAATGCGCTACTTTATAATGTCCATTTACAACAGTCCACGCACAGACAGTACTTTCATAGTGCTCTTGAATCAGAGGTAGTGTTATTACACAGTCTTGTAGGGAATAAAGAGAGCACAGGCCATTGAAAATATCCTCCCAAGAGGATATTTTCATCCCACTCTAGATGTTCTTCCTCATCCCACTTTAGATGTTCACATAGAACCTTCAACAGCCCCCAAGTTTCTTCTCTGCACACCTTCAGCACCCATTGTCGAATGTAAGAGTGGGCTCAGGGTTAAAGGAACAGCCTTAGGCTCTGTCTGCACCCCCTAACTTGGGCCTCACTGCTCTCAGCTTCAAGGATAAAGATACCTATACACAGCTAAGTCTATGGAACCCAAGTCAGAAAATAGAAATAGAATCACAGCTTCTCTAGGAGAACAACACTAGGGGGCAGACGTTGGACACCAGAGACAGGCCTCATGGGAGGACCACAGCCACAGGACAGGGAACTGGCTGGCCAGACCATGCCTAGTACAGCAAGGAGTACAGCCCCAAGACCTCAGAGTGCAATATGGGTATAGTGTGAGCAGGCATGGTGGGAGAAAGGGACATACAGTGTGGGCACAAATGTCATTTGACTGCGCTTTGCCCAATCAACTTCAGTGTCCAGTCCTGTCCTAGGAGACACAAGGAGAAACCAAGTCTTAATTCTCAAATCATTTATGTTTTAGCCAAGTATCTTTGGTTCATAATAGTAATAATTGCCATGTACAGAACATCTCCAGTGTGCAAGGCAATCTATGTGCATGTTCTCTTTTAATCCTCACTTGGAGGAGGGGTTATCATTGTAGAACCCTGGTGTACCTAAGTCCTCTTAGGCTACTCCTCTTGTTCTTGCCTTAAGGCCAATCTTAGCATGATATTAATGTACGGGAGGCAAGGAGATGGCTACAATCTCATTCCAAGACCATGAAAAAGCAAGAGATCTTTCCTGCAGGTTTCTTAAGGAGACAAAATGGGGTCACAACAAACATCAAGATACAAGGCTTCCTAGATATCTGCTTACAACATCCCTTTCTCTGATGTTCTACTTCTGACCTCACCTTCTTTCATTTCTCCACCTGCCTCCTCAGCCTCCCTTACCCTCCCATGATGCTCCTCCAGCTCCTTCGCCCCTCCCAAGTCCTTCCCTCTAGAGGTCTCCCTGAACTTGAACTAGCCTCTCTCCATGACAACAAAAGGTGTGAGAAAAAGAGTGAGCAGCTGCAGAAATAAATAAATAAAGACGATGCACATGAATAAAGATCTTTATGAATGGCTTACATATACATTACTCCACTTGAGCCCTCTGCAGACTCACAAAAACCTGTGAGGTGTGTATGGCTCCTTGTTATCCCCATTTACAGATGAGAAAACTGAGGCTCAGAGGTAAAGCAAGTTGCCTAAAGTCCATCAGTGAGTGTTGAGCCGTGCCCTGAAACCAAGGCCTCTTTCCTTCCTACCACCTATGGCCCAGGACTGCAAAAGCCTAGAAGGGAGCATCAGACTGTCAGTAACACTTCACAGGTGGCAGTCGGCTTGAACTGACGCCCTGGAGCCCCAGGGCAGGACTCAGAAGCTAGGCCCAGGAAATGACATTCACTAGCACTGGAAGGAAGTGCAGAGGCAAAAAGGCTCAGAAATCAAAGATGCTTATAATAAATTCCCTCAAAAAGATCCAGGAAATTGGCTTCTCTCAAGGGACTTCTATCAGTAACCAAAGTGGAAGCTGCCTCTTGTGTATTTATTACCTGAGGATGGCCTTCAGAATGATATGGTAATGGTCAGGCTTTGTGCAAGAGCCTGTGTGAGGCAGTGAAAGGTCTCTGAAATTAACAAATGTTTTGGCGGGAAAAGAATCATTATCTGATGGCTGTTGGTGATGTCTCCCAAACCTGCCTCTGTAGGGTCTCATGTTTTTAAGAAGCTATTGTTAATTGTTGTTGTTTTCTAAATTTACAGATCAAGTTTGCTTTAGGAAATTTAGAAAAATCAGAGAGTTCTAAAAAAGCAAGGGGGAAATATTGTCAGCCCATCAGCCACAGGCAGAATTAACCTTTTGGCCTATTTTCTTCTAGTTATTTACTATATATTTTTCTGCAACTTCCCATGGTCGAGATCATCATCTATATAAGTGATATCCAGGTTTCCCCCCCCCCACGGAGAGTAAAACATAAGCATTTCCTATATGTATGTCATAATAAATTTATTCATTCACATCAGCCCTTATTAGATGCAAAGCAAACATTCTTAGTCAAGTTGCTAGTAGTGTATTGTACAATTTGTTGGCTGTACGAGAGACCATTTAGGGACTAAGAGTACTTACTGGAGTCAGGCTGCCTGGGTTTGAATCCCGATTCTGCCACATCCTAGTTGTGTGACCTCAAACAAGTTAATTAGCCACTCTGTCTCCATCTCCCAAACTATAAAATGAGGATAGTAGTATCTACATCACAAAGTGTTCTAAAGACAAAATGAGTTAATTACATGAAAAGAGCTTAGAATACTAGATGTCATGGTAAGCACTAAGTAGTAGCTATTAGCAATATATGGTGTATGTGGTTGCATCATAAATTATCAACTGTTCTCCTACAGGTAGACATTAAGGTTGCTTTCGATTCTTCCACTATCATAAATAGCCCTATAAACCATTGACTGCACGCATCAGGGGAGGAAAGATAGATTAAGACTCTGCTGTGAAAACATTTGAGTGCCAAGATAAGGTATTAAGAATTAAGAAATTCAGGATAAATGACCCAGGAGAAAAACTCACCTTGGAAGGAGAAATCCAATCAACTTGAAGAGGTGACATTTAATTCTATGTGGCAGACATTTGTTGAGCTCTGTGGGCCAGAATGGGTCTAGGCCAAGTAAGGAAGCACAGAAAGGAACAGGAGACACCAAGATGAACAAGAGATAGGCCGATCTCTCCAAGACCTTCAGCCAGTTACAAAAATGTCACAGCTGTTATGTCCAGGACTAAACTTCCACCGTGACGTATTTCTACATTATCACCTATGTGGACAGGGATTACAAAATGCCTCATTCCAAATGACCAATACAGCAGAAAGTATTGTTAATAAACAATACAGAAAGTACAAACTCAGCCAGTCCTCCCTTCATGCCCTCATTGAGAAGGCTGGATCAAGAATGCCTTTTTCTTGGGGCTCCTGCGTGGCTCAGTCGGTTAAGCATCTACCTTCAGCTCAGGTCATGATCCCAGGGTCCTGGGATCAAACCCCACATTGGGCTCTCTGCTCAGTGGGGAGCCTGCATCTTCCTCTACCCCTCACCCCACTCATGTACTCTCTCTCTCTCTCATTCTCACTCTCTCTCAAATAAATAAAATCTTTCTTAAAAATGCCTGTTTCTCAGAAGTGTTGTGACCCCCAGAGATGGCATTCATGAAGCTTTTCATATAGTGTCTGGTACATGGAAGAGGCTCAAAAAACAAATAACTGAGAGTTACTGAACACTTGCCAAGTGTCAGGCGCTATGTAAAGTACTTTCGAAACATTCCATCATGGAACACTTGCAGCCACCCAAGGTCGAGAGGATCGATTTTATTGTCCATACTTCATAGTTGAGGAAACAAAGAAGTAATGACTTCTCCAGGGTCACACAAGGAATCAGCAGTGAAGCTAGATTCTTAACCAAGGCATCTGATGAATTACAGCAAGCCGACAGCCAGGGTTGAATTCTGGTGGGGTAGACATTCAAAGGATCATGTCCTTGCTCACTGGGCTTCACCAGCTTCTCTCCAAAGAACTGACGTTTCATGAGACAAGGTACACAACACAGAGTGTCCTGGTCTCTGAGTCAGCAGGCCTGAATTCTACCCCTGGCATTCGCAATTCAGATTGCAGAAATCAGATCAAGTACTTCCCCTTTGCTAGTCTGTGAAATGAGGCCACTTGGACAAATTAGTTGTTTCCCAACCAAACGGATCTTTTAAATCACACGCAGAAATAATTTAAAATATAAATTCTGTTATAACCCCAACATTTCAGTGGTTCGGGGGTCAGAGCTTGGGTATCTGTAATTGTTAGCATGGTCCCTAGGCAGTGTTGACGATGGCAGGATTGGCAGATGAATCTAAAAGGTTCACCTAAGGCTCTTTCTAACTTGTCCCAGAGAAGTTCCTCCAACAGGATAAAAAGCCACCAGTTGTACTCCATACCCAGAGGAGCCCTCTCTCCCAGCATCACCCTGAGTGAGGGACCCTCTGCCAAGGCCTCAGACATGGCTGCAGCCTCAGCCCCGTTCTTGGTGACCATCATCACCAATAATTAACGGGCCACCAACAGCTGGACAATACTCTTTGGAAAGAGCCACATTTCCCCATCACTGGCATAGCTCCTAAAGGTCAAATGTCTCCCAGAAAGCTGCATGAGCTTTCCAGCCCCTCCTCATGTAGGGTACAACACAAAACCGTCAGTGGCTTCCTGGGAGAAACCTGAGAGGACAGTGGCAGCTTCATCCTGCCGGAAGTCAGTGCGGGCATTGGAGATTTTAATTCACCATAACCAGTTCTGCTAAGGTCCAAGTGTGTCCACAATCAGATAGGCATTTGAGGAGCACTGACAAAGCTCAGGGCAGGAAGTAGCCTCCGAACAATGCCACATGACCCATTACAGCCTTCCTTTGCTGATAACATAGAGAGCTCAACTGTCAAGTTCAATTAGCAAGCAGGGGGTCTATAATGAGAATAACATCCTGTACCTCTCAACTAAAATGGCTCAGAGCACGGCAGAGTCATGACCTGATGGCTTCAGAGTAACTCCATCCAGAAGTGAGGGACACCAGGGCAGGCCCACCGAGGCCGAAGATTTATATGTGTCCCTGAGGGTTTGGAAGAGGGGGAGTACAGGCACCTGTGTTAAATATATACCATTGTAGTTAAAGGGTTGTATCAAATCAGCTTGGGGTCCTAGCAAATGAGCTGTAATCTCAGGGAGCAAGGATTCCATCTTTCACCCCTCTTTGGCCAGTTCCTCTGTGAGGCCTTTCTCAAACTCACAGAAAAGATGGAGAGTAGGAGACTCACTTCCTGGCCCAAAACAGAAGCACACTTCCTAAGTCCACATTCAGAGGGAACTAACTATATGGGAGAGATTTTTATTTGTAGAATCTACAAATTTATTTGTAGATTATTTATTTGTAGTCTCTAGGCCTCAGTTGATGGCTGGGTTAAGAAGGAAGGGGCACAGTGCAGATGCTTGATTTTAATCTACCCCCTTTAAAATGTGTTCCTCACTTAACGGGTCCCAAGGTGCTTGGCTATACATCTTTCGGTTGATCTCTATTTTGCAGGTAAATCAACTGAGGCCTAGAGACTCAAATGACCCAGCAAAGATTACCTAGCTAATAAGTGGCAAAATCTGGACTAGAGCCTACATCTTCTGACTGTTAAGAGATGCTAATAAGGGGCCACAGGGCAGCTCAGAAAGTATAGAGAGAACCGGAGACTTGAAAAGCAGAAACTGCTGTGGGCCAGCCTCCCATAAGGAGACCCCTGAGAGGAATCAGGCCCTGCTCATTACTTTCTGTCTCCTCAGAATGGTCAGGGATCATTAGGCTGGTTTTCAGCCTGTCTTTTCAAAGGGCTAAGAAAAACATAGAAGGTGATAAATGGAGCTGGTAGAGAACGGCCAGAAGCGTGGTGAAATGTTATTGTTTCTGCTGGGAAGAAGGAAGTCACTCAGCTGAGATAGCTTCATGTGAGCCTAGACCCCTGATGGTACATTTCCTTCACCACAGCATTTTTGAGGGGTCCTTACTGCTTCAGAGATCTGATGAGTTAGAAATCCTAATTCTCAGTTATTGATTACTGAGGTGAAATGGAGCATGTCAAGATTAGGATCGGGATATTCCAGAAAGATCTGAGAGATAATGACTTCCTCAAATGACTGCCCAGCCAACTGCACTATGCCGTCCTTAATCCTCACAAAGACCCGGGTGTGTGCGTCATTACCAGCATTTACAAAAGAGATAACCGAGGCTTAAGGGGTTTCAATAATTGGCCAAAGGCCACGTGCCTTGTAACTGGCAAAGCTGGGGATTGAACCAACGCGTTTAAAACTTCAAAGCCACTCTGTAACCATCGTGCTCATCATCAGTTTTTCCTTGGAGATGAGGTAATGTGAGGCTGGCCTGACTCCCCTCCTCATTATCCCTGCCTCTAGCGCTGGCTTGGACTTCAGTTCTCTGAAATGTCCCCTTTGTCTCGCTCTGCATACATGAAC